ATGTTGCTCTCGAAAAATCTACTGCTGTATGATGCCTTTCCTAGGGTACTACATATCTAGCTAAATGAGTGCTGGCAACATTGGTCGGCAATCTGGCAATTAAATGAATTAAACGCAGACCGGGAAAGAGTATTACTTACTTTGAGCGAATATTTAAGGGTTCGGGAATCAGTTTCCACAACCCAACCATCCCGCCGCTCAAAACAGGCGACCTATAATATACTCTACAGTTATCTCATTAAAGTGTGATGCTTTGCGAAAGGTGCACAAATTCAGACACTTTTTTTAAAATTAACATTATCTAATCATATACTTCTGCGGCCGTGATCATAGTCCAAGATTATGCGTGTACCAACCATGGAAGCTATGTGGTCATTGCATTCCCTATGTTTCAGAATGCCGAATGATTTGAACTACTACTAATACTTTATAATCCTACATGAAGGTAGACCAGTAAAATCTTGGTTAATATAACGACTACCATAGATTCCTATGTAGCCCTGACTTCTAGAAAAAATGTTAATATCATTAATTTTTAATTAATTATTTTTGCAGTGCTTTTCCGGAGCATGGGCGGACTGCTGCTGGCCTTTGGCAGTAGGCAGCTCTCCGTGCGCCTCCACAATGAGATGTTAAGTCATGTCCTCTTCAGCCCTGTGTCCTTCTTTGACACCAATCCCCGCGGAAGAATCCTCAATAGATTCGCTGTGGATCTGGACGCTGTAGACGCCAGGTTGTACTTGTTTGGAAAGCAGTTCATCCAGGCTACATTATTGACGGTTGCCAAGCTCATTGCGGCCGGAAGCCAGGCACCTGGGATCATGACTGTGGGGTTGGGTGCGATGGTCACCTTTGGTATCGGAATGGTACGTAACAACGGTGAATTAAAGGCAGATGACCCCAAAGCTCGAAAATATTTGTTTTGCATAGTAGCTATTTGGCTTGTCCTTGACCGAATAAAAAAAAAAAACACAAAATATGATTCACGGCTAAGGTTGCCAAGAAAAGCGATTCGTTACGCTTGAGCGTTGCGCTTGACTGACACACAAGTTAAAGTCGTATAAACAGTATAGCACCTAGACGCTTTACTGCTTACGTAACCTTAGTATCAGTGATTCACGTAGCAACAACATATCACGTGACGTCATATTGTGATGTGATATTTCTGACATCCAAGCTTATCACGTATTATTAAAATATATGGCATGTTTTTCGATATACAAGAAGCGGCTGTCTTGTATAAATCAAATTCTAAATGCACATACCTGGAAATGGGTACGCAAACGTCATTTCACGAAAAGTGCTAGTGGAATTCCGTATGAACGGGTGCCCCCGAGAGATCACCCATCCTGTTTTTTAGGCTCAATATCCAGAGCATAAAAATTCCGAAACATCGCTCACCCCTCATACCCGTTGGATATCGACCACTCGACGTCCGACGGGAATCACGTCAACCACGCGATCTGCGATACAGGTACGCGTGACAAGCGGGTACGCCGCGGGTTTTCTCATTTCCACGCTAGTTTGCAGCGTCCACGATATGCGGTATCTGTTCCCGTGACACGTGACTTCGTAGTTGGTTCCCTTGTATCTTTGGCTGCGGTCTTCGCGCGTGATATTAGTACCCTTGATACGCGAGTTTGTAGTGGTTTCCCGGGTGTTTATCGTACCTTGAAACGTGAAGTTTTTCCGTCCTCAACCTGCAGCATCCGGTGCCGTGACATTTGCATTCGAGTTCTTAGAGGGTTCCCGCGTTCTTTGGCGCTCCGTCCGCGCACGTGGTGTCAGTTCCCGTGAAAAGCAAGTATGTAGAAGGTTCTCGCGTTAAGCGCGAAACACACGTACGACCAAACCGTCCGATCCGACGTCCGACCGCGCAATACGACGGTCGGAGGCGAGGGTTTTCAACGCTCTCCGATGCTACGGAACCCCCTCCTCCCCCAAGGTCATTCCGGCAGTCCGCACGTCGGATCGGACGGTTTCGTCGTACATGTGTTTCGCGCCTTAATCCTATCATCAAGCGCGAATCTGCTGGTTCAGCGACCTTCTGTCTTACTTCCGATTTCATGTCATTTGTCGCGGAAAGAAGGAAGGTGGTCTATTGTTAATTATGGATAAAATTCTTCAGTCTACTTCTGAAGTGTTTTAGCATTTATCTTTTCATTTTGATCGGGCGTTCTTAAAACATTTTACGGTATGTTTACTTTTGAAGCATGAGATGCTTTTTAACGGAAACTTATTTTCGTCCGTCAGTCCGTTCATCCGTTCATTAATGTGTTTTCTGCTAAATTTAGCGGGGAAACTGAATTGGTGCTTATATGACGTGCCGTTAATTGAGGTCAAGTGACCTAACGTCCTGCGATCTGTAGATCCATTCACTTTCCACGTCAGAGTCGGCGGTAAAATTGATGTCACGTAACCTTACGTTTCGTGACCTATACTGCAATTCAGTGTCCCCACTAAATTTAGCAGGGAATGTGATGTCGTGCGACCTCCTTTGAAATCTTTCTTCTGGTTTACCCTGCGACACATGAAATATGCCTTTTTCAGCGCGGAGCAAACCACGTGTACGCCTTGCCGTCCGGCAATCTTCTTCAGTCCGTGAGTGATGCCGTGGATATATGGCGCTAACACTATAGGCTTTCGTGTATTTTTTTTTTGTTTGACCATTTTCCACACGGTTTTGCAAGATGTTGTTGCAGATCTTTTCACGCGTCGCTATCAATAATATATTTAGGCGATCAGCAGTCTGTAGCCTTGACATTTGTGTCTGGAAGTTTTGCCCAACCTAGTAATAGCAGGACATTGTAAGGCCAGATGTAAGTGCTGTAGTGGCCACACCTCCTCTTACGTTTTTCGAATGTCGACAGTCAAAGGGAAGGAATCCTTTACAGGATCTAGCGCGGTACCTCCAGCACATTCACCTATTCACGTTCACCTTAGAACTACCTGAGAACAAGTCTAGGCGATTCCTGAATTCAGTTTTGAAGTTTACGGTTCGTCGCGTGTGCTGGAGGTATCAAGCTAGGTTCTGTAAAGGGTTAAATCCCTTTGACTCTGGAAATTTGAAAAATGTAAATTGAGGTGCGGTCACTACAGCACCTACATCTGCCCCTAAAAAGTCCTGCCGTCATCGAGTTGGGCGAAGCATTCGATCTCAAATGTCAATGCTACAGACTACTGGTAACACAAATACAATATTAAGAGTGAGGTGTGAAAAGATCTGCAACATCTTGAAGGGGAATCCTGGGGAAAATGACCAGATAGAGGAAAATACATGAAAACATTTAGTGATAGCGCCTTAAATCTACGCCCTCACTCACACATTTAAAAATTGCCTGAACGCAAGGTGTTCACGTGGTTTGCTCAGCACCAAATAACCCATATACTATGTGTTGCAGGGGTAAACAACGAGGAAGATTTCAAAGCAGAATTTTGTGGCATTGCTCATAAGGCTAAGTGCGCGTCGTGTAAAAATATAGTGATACGGAACACCATGCGGTTGATGCTACATAGGCCAAATCGATCGTTGTATCAATGATCGAACCAGGGAACATACCGCTTTATTAAATAATATCTCAGCAGGGGGCATACCAGCCCATTGTCGAGAATGCTTGTGTACTGAAAGTTTGGAAAACATCAAGGTTCGGGATAAAAGCAAAAAGAAACTTGAATCTGAAATCCTTGAGGCATTGACCATCGATAAAAAAGATGATGAATGAGTCAGTGCCCCTTCTCTGGCTACATCAGTGGGAGCATCTGTTTCTGCGGGCATCCTGAAGGACACGAAGGAGCTCTGTGTTTTTAAATAAGTATAGAAGTAGAAGAACAAGATTTTATACCAGCTTGTAGAAAGTACGAAGGGGGCTTCAATCTAGGCTGTAAATACTGATAGTAGTAAGGGAAGGAGAAGGCTTCAATATAGTTGATAATCCAGCGATTGTCAATTTTTTGTGTTTATTACTGTTCGGCTGGCACCCCAAAAAGAATGTAAATTAACTACCTCAGCTTCAACCAGTAGCATTCTGGGCGTTTTTGCGTTCAGGCCACTTGGTAGCGAGCTTATAAACCAGGTTCCAGAGGACAAGTAGCCTGCTATATAAAATATAAAATAAACGCCCGCCGTTCTCGTTTTACTTTTACTATGTTACCACATCTCAGTTCAGCTAGAAAAAAAGATTTATTTTGCAAAACGACTTTTGCGTGTTTACTATCAGGTATGTACTTTTGGATTTCAAAATTTAAAAGGCCTGCTAAATGTGGTGCTCCTCGTGGCCGCTTCTTGTACTTGCATTGTTTTATTCTGTGATAAAAAAAGTGAAAGCCGTTTACAACTCCCTGGAACGCCGAATTGGAGCGCACCTCTTGAGGAGGAGGAGGGACGGGTACTGAGGGGAGGGTAGACCCCTCCTCCTCCCCTCATTCTTTAATATGCTCCGGGGGGGTCACCTGACCTCGGGGGAGGGGGTCACGTGACCTCGGGGGGGGGGGGGTGTCGCATGACTTCGGGGGGGGGGGGGGGGGGGGAGGGGGGTCACGTGACCTCGGGGCGGGGGCCAAATGACCTCGGGGGTCATGTGACCTTGAGGCGACCTTGGAAGGGGTCACGTGACCTCGGGGGGTCACGTGATCTTGAGGGGTCGCGTGACCTGGGGGTCACGTGACCTTGGTGACATGGGGGTCACGTGACCTTGGGGTAACCTTGGGAGGGGTCACGTGACTTTGGAGGGTCGCCTGACCTTGGGAGGGGTCGCGTGACCTTGGGGTGACCTGGGGGGTCACGTGACCTTGGGGTGACCTTGCTTACGCCGACGGCGACGCCGCTCAAGCCGGAAACGGGCGCCTAAGAGATGCGCTCTAAAACATAACGTCTTTATCAATTTATAAGGTATATCGCAGTGCTATGTGGTTGAAAAAAAAACTATTTGCGAAAATATTAGCGTCACGTTTTGAAAAAGTGGTGTCGTTTTTCGCAGATGCTGATCCTTCGAGCCGCCAACATGGCGAGGTTCCTGGAGACCACCAGATTTTCACGGACCCTGCAACACGTGACCGAGTCCATGGAATCCCTCAGCAGCTTACGGTGCTTCGGAGTTGTGGAGCGCTTCTGCAATCACTTCTGCCATCTGACGGACTACCATCTGAAGGGTTACGCCACATTCTGCGCCTATTATCGGTTCAGCAGGACTCTTGGAAACCTCTGCGGCTTTGCTGTAGTTCTGGCCTCGATCCTTTTCATGTTATGGAACTTTTCCGGTGGGGACAGCGCATCGTCCAGTGGTCTTGGTCTAGCTCTAAGCGCATCTCTGTCGGTGGGTGGTTCCTTAACGCTTGGTATTTGTGTAGGTCACTATTCTTTGATCCTAAACTATGTTTGGCTAACAACATTAAGTTCGAATGACTAAAGTCGGCAGATAAATTTTACTATGTCTCACTTCTTGAGCAGTGGTAGAGACACCACTGATGAAAACCAAGTAAATCTATAATTTTGCAAAGAAGAAAAACATCAAATGCGAAATATAAAAAAATCAATGGACAAACGAAGCATTTCATGAAAGGAAGTATCTGCCTTCCAATTTCCGTTTTCAAATATCGTAAGTTCAAAATGAGATTGTTAGCAAGCTAAACCAATCATTATATAGTCCATGAATATATTTCTAAGTAGAAAGCATGCCCATCATAAAAGAAAATATTCACCTGACGATGTCCTTGCTTGAGTAAACTAAATTAAATATGAAGATTTTAATTTGGAGACTTCAAAATAAAGTTGAGGTAGCTAAACTATTCTTGCACATAACTACAGTATACACATAGAATATACACATTTGGGAGAGCAACACTACATATTGAAATGGAAGCTCCTTGGAGCGTAAGAGTATCGCTAAATAACTCAAATCGATGACACGGACGTTCATGTGCACTTACTAAACGCTGTACAAAGGACGACCGCTTCTTGATCAAGGCAAATAGAGTTTAGAGAACCTTTAAAGAGAAAAAGAAAATGATCCCACCTTAACTTTTTACTTTCTATTATGCAGATTTTGCTCTGCTCTTATGAAAACGTTCGATCGATAATATATCGATTAAAAACCTCGTGCCTATTTGTACAAATTACCATCTAACACTGTCAGAAGAGGACTTCATAAGAAAATTCCCTGACTTAAAAAGATAACTTGGTGAAATCCCCGACAAAACTATCGGAACACTCACACACCAGAAATGTCTGATTTCTGACACGGCAAGTGTCACGAAGCTTTTGCTTCTTCCTGCCTTTAAACTGGATGCGATACAAAATTTAGAGACAAAGTTGTACACCAAATATTGTTTTTTTTTGTATTTCATTGTGAAATATATTAACAAGCTCTGCCGAGCCTTTGTTTTAGATGAGTCCCACTAATTGATGTGTAATGAACAGGTGTAAATTTCTCTTTCAACGTTCTCCATTTTTATTGATTTTGTTTCATTATAGTTGTTTCTCTGTTTTTGTTACCTCATTTGCTACCGCTGGTATAAGAGTAACGTATTATTATAAAAACTAAGGACACTCTCATTCAACTACAGATACCACAAACCATTGTGTCTTTGAACTTTGTGATCTTCATCGGACCGCAATTGTTGGTTTGCTTTGAGCGGGGATTGCAGTACACTGAGCTCCCTGAAGAGGTACGTGAGTTTGTTGCATCAATAAATGCTCTCAAGGACTGACATTCTTTTTATAATTATTTTAACATTATTTCCAGGATGGCGCCAAACAGGAAAGCAATGACAAAAACTTCAAAATGGAGAATGAAAAACATATCGATAATAATTGGCCAACAAATGGCCGGGTGGAATTCGAGAACTACTGCGCATCCTACAGGCCAGGAGTCCTATCCAACGTCTTGAAAGGAATTACACTCTTAATTGAACCCTGCCAAAAGGTAGTTTTATTGATGCATCTCCCCTGTATTATGGCATAATAAGGGTGTAACGCTTCTGAACTTTAATACAGTCAGGAAGTAATTTAAATGCTGCTTTGTACAAAGATATTTGAGGTTCTTAGGCTTGTTTTCTGCAATTATTTCGGTTTGTTTAAGTGGCGCATCTCAGAAAATAAAACAAGATCCAAAATGCGTTTGATATAATTACATTTACAAAAATAATTATCGACGATCCTGTATGTACCCGATTTGCGTTATAACGTGTTCAAGTAACCTGAGCCCATGTACAAACATAATGACCGGAACAACTTAGGGAATTTTAAAATAAATCTAGGAACACTGACTCTATAATAAATTAAAGGAAGTTGCTTACATCAATCAATCAATAAATTTATGAGTGTTTATTCAGATACAGTAAAATATTGAAAATGGTACAGTAGCATCTGGATTCCTAGACTATTTGGCACGTTATGGATCGAGACTTATCTACAAAAATATGGAATACGGGTTTATCCTGGAACGCAGGCTTGTGCCGCGCAAATAAAATTCAACTAATTATATTCACTTCTCATAACATTTTGAAATTCTGTTTCTTTAGAGTCTGTAGAATTTATCTTGTCCCTTTTATGTCCGTGCTTAATGAGTGATACGTTCTTTTGCGTTCTTATCAAGTAATGACGCCATCGCATTGCGTACAAAACAATATTAAGATGCTGAGGATGCACCACACTTTTCGTTTCTGAAGCAGTCAGTGATTATACCAGTTGGCTATACTATAATATATATAGTGACTGTTCAAGCTTATCTCTACGTCCAAACACGAAGTCCCCTCGTTGTAAAGCACAAAATGCTTTCATTCAACATAGAGTGAGAAATTACACAAAAATGTTTCGTTTTCGCTCCAAACATCTACTTTTTCTTGAGACTGCTGGTGTATATACGATGCATATATTATAAAACTACACGTCCTATTGGCAATTAAGCCTAATTTTGTTTACATAATTTCTAATCATAATCTCAAGCATGCTTTTTAAGTCCTGTTTAAGCAGAATTGACTGCGATAACAACAGCTATAAAATAACCTATTTGTTCTTAGCATTCCCTGCAACTACCGACTGTAATAGCAGTTTTCAAACGCCATAACTAAGCATTTAAAAGAAACTAAATGCTCTGTCAGCTAACAAAGAAACATCTATATCTCGGTGAAACAGTTCAAGAATATGCAATGTCCTTCGGAGGATATAAAAATATGGCTTTCAATTTTCGCGCCCACCGTGCCATATTAAACTGAACGACTGTCAGTCTAAGTACTTAGCAAAAAAGCGTTATGTGAACAAGTAACACATTAGACAACATAATGTGCTTTCTCATCCTATAGGTCGGAGTTGTCGGAAGAACAGGGGCCGGTAAATCCTCCCTAGTGCTGGCGCTACTGCGGATACTTAAAACTACGAGTGGCAACATTCGCATCGATGGCATTGATATTGGCACAGTACCGCTGTGCAAATTGCGTTCCTCACTTACGGTCATTCCTCAGGTGAGACCAGAATAATGCACCTTTCTTCTCTTAGCGTGTCCAGATGTAACGTCTGAAAAAAAACAAAAAACAACAACGAAAACAAGCAACCAAGCCCTCAACTAAGCAGAACATCCTATTATAAGGTGATGAAGTATGCGACACTGCCCAATGCTTTATATTGCCACGAATGACAAGTGATGAGGCGACGAAAACTGAAGTAAACTAAACGTTTAATGGGGCGAACTTGTGCCCAAAACAAAAAGGGAACAGAAGGAAACAGCAGAGCGACGCGACGTCGATGTCGGCGAAAGCGCAGGATCGGTAAACTAAAGAGTCATTTGGAACACATAAGGTCCATAGTCCTATCGAGCGTAGTACGGCTTCAGGCGCTCGACGTGGACGACTTCAGGCCGTGGTGGACGGCGTGATGACGTCCTTGTTCCGTCGGGCATCACATCGTAGTTCAGATCTCCAAGTCGACGAAGAACCTTGTGGGGTCCAAAGTACCGTTTTAGGAGTTTCTCGCTGAGACCACGGCGGCGAATCGGTGTCCAGACCCATACCCTGTCTCCGGGCTGGAAGTGGACGTCCCGACAACGAAGGTTGTACTGGGTATTGTTGTCACGGTTGTTCATCTTGAATTCGGAGTCGGGCGAGCTGGCAAACTTCTTCGCCTCGTTGAGCAACCACCTGGGCGTCGGGGCTCCCATCGTCGGCTGGTTCGTGGGGTAGCATCGCGTCCAGCATGGTCGTTACTTTCCTGCCATGCACCAGCTGGAAAGGGGTTACTCCTGTGGTCTCTTGCACCGCTGTGTTGTAGGCAAATGTAACGTATGGGAACACCTCGTCCAATGTCTTGTGCTCCACGTCGACGTACATGGAGATCATGTCGGCGATGGGTTTGTTGAATCTTGCTGTCAGCCCGCTGGTCTGCGGGTGGTACGCCATGGTGCGCCGATGACTGGTGTGGCTGAGACGAAGGATTTCTTGCGTCAGCTGGGCCATGAACGTCGATCCACGGTCTGAGATCAAAACTTCGGGAGCGCCGTGCCAGAGGACGATGGACTCATTAAAAACTTGGCGACTTCCACAGCAGTCCCTGATGGAAGGGCTTTCGTTTCGGCGTACCGCGTGAGATAATCTGTGCCGACGATTATCCATCTCTTTCCTTGCGTTGATGGTGGGAAAGGACCAAGTAGATCCATTCCAATCTGCTGGAGCGGCGCGGTCGGGGGAGCAATCGACTGCAGGAGACCTGCCGGCTTCGACGGCGGTTTCTTGCGTCGCTGGCACTCGTGGCACGATCGTGTGTGGAGGTGGACGGCCTTTGTCAGCTTGGGCTAGTAATATCTTTCAAGAATTTGGGCCAGAGTACGGCTGTAACCAAGGTGTTCGGACATATACTTAACCAGTTATTGGAAGAGCCACTCCGGCTCTCCCAGTGACTGGTTAAGTATATATCAAACAAGTCTTCATTTTGATGAGCACAGTTTATTCATTTAGATATTTTCGATTATTGCCTTTTTAGAATCTATGCATGATGATGACAATTCCCCGATGTTACGTATGATTTATAGATTAGTATATATTAAGGTAAAGTTAGTACATGCATGATCACTTACTTTTTATAAATAATGATTTTCAACTGAAAAACTAATTTTTGGTTTGTATCGCAGGACCCTAATCTGGTGAGAGGCACCTTGCGCAGCAATTTGGACCCGACGGGAATACACAACGACAAGGATTTGTGGAAGGCCCTGGAGCAGGCACATCTGGCGGAATTTGTGTCAGCGCATCCAGACAAGCTGCTTCTGGAGACTGGAGACGGAGGAGCAAGCCTCAGGCGAGTTAATGCCTTTTCTCTCTTTATCAGAACCCTAATTAGCTATTATGATCAAGTGGGTCCATAATGTATGTGAAGAATGAGAAGTAATTAATGTAAGAATTATTTTTTTTTATCCTTGATACGTATTTGAGGATGTTATCATCTGAGTTTCATGAAGCTGCGGGTGAACAACGCATTATAAACGAAAAGTTAACCGGTGCTGAAAATATAGACATGAAGTTAGTTGCTAATGTTTGAGACATACAAACGTGTCCGATGTCGTTTTCGTCAGACGGAACACTCCCAGCATATCCCGTATTAATCCAGGGACGGTATAACTAGATTCCACTACAATTTGGAAGTATAGGAACCGGTACCAAATTTCTATGGGAGGCTGTGAAAGTGGTGCCATGATGGTCCTGGCAGCCACTACAAGAAAGGAGCGAAAGACTATTAGTTCAGTAACTAAAACATGTTAATAAAATCTTTAAATTTCCATTTTAGTTGCATAATGTAGTTGGCGAAGTGACGCTCGTTCCTAATATTGACCAGCCATGCTGTAAAATTTCAATTAAAAAGTTCGCAGTCGGTTCTCTGGGGCGAGGAATATAACACTCGTACGCGACTTCTATCCGTAACTCAGCGGACCAAGCGACGTCGATCCGTCCGCCCTCTGCCCTCTCAGCAAGCGCAACCTTCTTTTGTAGCGCCACTCTTTGCCCCCTAAAACATTTTCCCACCCTACTCCGAAACGTTATTGACTTCATTCCGTATAAAGAGATACTGTTGAAAAGTAAACTCAGACGTAACGTGCACTGTCGTTTGTTACGTCCCCTTTGGATGCCGAGAAGTCTAAGTTGACTATGTCTGTTCGCATTACTCCGCCTCTATTAGCCCCACATATCGCGGCCACAGATCGAGGGTGGCTCAGAAAGGTGGGTCCCATATTTTCTTTTTGTGACGCCTTATTTCATTAAAAATAAATAAGCTTCGCAAACAGTGCCACTGCATGCTTCTTGTAGAAACATTGATGTTTACAAAATGTCCGTCCACTTCATGCTGTACAAAAGCGCGGAACAAGAGAAAGCTTGCCGCCTGTACCAGCTTGTTGCCTGCTTACGTAGCCCATGATCTTACTCCGCGAATCAGTCCCTCGCTGTTTTCAAACACTGCTTAGCATAGGGCATGCTGTAGTGTCCAGAAAATATAAATATCACATGACGCCAGTGCACACTGTAAAAAAATTTGCCCTCTTTTACGGAGAAATTCTCTGGCACCTATGCTGCCGGAAAGGTCATCCGTAATCCTAATAACGGAAAAATCCTTTTAAACGCATACACAATCCGCAAATTAAAGGACGTTCCGCAAAACAGATTACGGAAAGTGCTTTACTATCCGTAACGCTATTCAAGAGCTGTCCGTAAAACAACGGACTGGAATATGCATTCCGTAAAACCTATTACGGAAATCGCTCCAATATCCGTAAAAGTGTTTAAAAGTTGTCCGTAAAAGGGCACTCAGAGTAGGCTTTCCGTAAATTATATTACGGAAAGCACTCTTGAGTATCCGTAATCCTATGCGGAGCGTAAGTTTGTCTGCTTTTTTACACAGGGGTTGCAGTGATGTCAGAAGGCCGAGCTCTTATTGACCGATCGAACAAAAAAAAATAGTGGGTAGACCTCATGCTGTCTAGCATTGTGGTCTACCCACTATATCTTCCGCTCAAAGCCAATGAGAGCTCGTCACCTTTCTGACGTCACCGTAATGTCTACGCAAGAAACAGACGACTTGCTCTCCACATAGGGCGGTGTCAATTGAAAGGTGGGCTGTAAAACGAGCTAGATGAATCAATGCCTTCATTTAGCAAACTGAACTTATTATCAATGGTTTTCTTTTTGTGACACAGATTCCCATAAAAACTTTTAAGGTGCAACTCCATTCTGTGAAAAATAGAACTATATTATTAAAATTTTTGACAATGGGCACCGATGTATACAACTGAGTCGTGTTGAGTGCTCTTGTGGGAGAAGTGCCACCACCTGTTGTGGAAAGCAGGCAATACAGCTGAGCAATGCATCTGCAGCAAGTTTCCTCAATGTCAGTTGTGTTTTCTTCTGCAAGTTCAGGCATTCAGATCAACATGCAGAATTATAGAAGGCAGTGGGATTACAAAACATTATCTGCAGTCTGATCGGCCACTGCGATCATTGCAATTTCAAACAGCGATATAAAGCACCTTCTCAACAACACCAAACGTCACTCTGTCATCTGCGTCGGCACTCATGCTTGAAAATATAGAGAATGCTGTTTTCACATTCCACAGAGACGGAGCTGTGCCTTGACATGTCACAATAGTGTTCACTGCTAAAATAGACCTTTGGTAAGAATATGAGCTCAATGCTTGTAGGAGCAAATTTCTCCAGTTCGTTTTACAGCCAGTCCCTTAGTGATACTGCTCTATACATAGAGTAATGTTCATTATGACGCTGAGACCAACAGGTTTTCTATAAAAAAAAAAAGGTTACAGAATTTTGAATTGGAAAAGGATCTCTTTAAAAGAATATTGAGTATTCTTTCCTATGCTGCTTGCAACAATCATGCAATGTCACCTGAATAATTGATCAGAAAATAAGAAAAGTACCTTCGAACACTTTATTTCGGTCCTTGAGAAGCCAAAGTAAAGCCCCGTGGTGTTTTGCCTTTGTTTTCAGATGCTGCATGTAACGTGATGTGCTAAAGAAGAGAAAACAAAGAAAAAATAATTAAATATCTGTATCAAGTCAACATGTGCAAATTGAGCTTTGTGCATAAGACACAGCCCCCCTCAGCCCATTTAATTATTAGTCATGCATCTTATACAAAAGTCAAATGGACATAGCCCCTAATTGTTCATCCTGTGATCCGATATCTAAAACCTATGTTTGACTTGAGGGTCTTGTTCTCCTGTTCCTTAGTCAAAACCGATACACTTCATTCAAGCTTAGATTCGTTCGAAACTGTGAAAAAATGCAATGCCGGAATTACAATAGTGATTTGCTTTATAATGTGAAACATTTCTTGAGAACTGATGAACCAACCGGAAAACTCGATCCAGTTTGAGTAATGCTTTATTTCTAAGGTTCATGAGATGTTGCAGAAGAGTCTATGTAAAACTGGCTAAGCTCATATCCTAGACTTTTCTAAGTTTGGGCAGCCACTTAAAATCTCCTATTAGAACGAAGGGCTACTTGCACTCTTTCGCGTCGTCGAATCAGGTGGTCAGCCTCGAGTGCTTAGAGAGCACGAGCATTAAAAACTTTATTTTCTCTTTAGAAAGTTTTCACAGAACTGAGGGGGTGAGAGAGTGCATTTGTATTAAAACTGCTATCAAAAACTGGGGACTAAGCAGTAGCTTCCTCCCCAGTCCCCAATCCAGGGGTGGAACTCATGAAATGTACTTGGGAGTAGCCACGGGAGCAGCTGAAACAGCTGTTTTGGAGCAGGTTGGGAGCAGCTAAAACTATGCTCTGGAGCAGGCTAGGAGCAGCTCAGATCAGTTTTTATTGCCCTTCAGCTTGTGTCTTAGACAAGCACGGGAGCAATATCAATCGTGCTTAGCAGCACAGATGAACATGAGTGGTTAGGGACCTAGGTAGATGGGATAACAGCATAACAGATGCGAAAACTTGAAACTTTGTGAGCCTTACCGCTCATTCACACTGGAAGCGGATCCGCGTTCGCAAAGCGGCTGCGAACGCGCTTGTATAAAGATGCACTCGATGACATCAAGTGCATGCGCACTTGATGTCATCGAGTGCATGTGCAATTTTACTGGATCTTTATACAACCGCGTTCGCAACCGCTTTGCGAATGCGGATCCGCTTCCAGTGTGAATGAGCGGTGAATGAGAATCAAAAAGCAAGTACCCCATGTTTCTGAAGATAGTATCCTTGACATTTTCTGAGTGGATTTCAGTTGCTCAAAATGCAAACCAGCACTGCTTATCGCACAACCCACACGTGCTCGACATAGTAATTATATGTGCGAACCACGTGACGTGCGTAAGCAACGGACGTGGAGTTGCATGGAGGAATAGGGAAACAAATTTCGACTTTAACCTATTGTGCAACTCGATATCGAAGCAGCAGACTACGATTAACGAAGTTATCGTATTTGAAGCGATAAGCAGGAGCAAGGTTAATTAATGTATGCCGAGCAGATTTACCACTCGCGTAAGAGCTGCTGGCCGGCAAGGTTTCGGATCGGACAGTGTTTCAGTTCTATCAAATCACAATTTATCTTGCGGGAATGCAGTTCCAACTTCTAACGATGAAGTACTAAAAGGAATATTTTGTTCATTTGTTTTCAACTGGCTGACGTCTGGATCCCGGGCCGCAGAGCCTCAGGCAATCTGACGCTTAACGGCTCGACCTCAGCTCAGCCGACTTGCTTAACCGCTTATGGTTAAAGAATAACAATCCAGTCGCAGGAGGTGGTGTAGAGCTTAGAATCCCGAGTTTTTTCGCGCGCTTCCTACTCGGGATACACAGGGAGAATAAACAGAACAAAGGATTACAAGGCCGGTCAGGCTAAACGCGCTCATTGTGGCCAATCAAGTCAATAAAACCGAAACCAAGACAAAATAAAAAAGCTTTTGGCGCACGTTTTGCCATTTGGCGCATAATGGCACGAGGTATTAACTGCGGCGCAGGATGGCGCAGACACATGCGTCTGGCGCAAAATGGCGCAGCCGTTCCACCCCTGCCAATCTCACAATTTGGGAGGTCCATCCTATCCACGTTTGAGCACACCTGTGCACACGCTTTTGAGTCGAGCGAGTTAAAAATTAACAGAGTATTTTTATATGGCATGCATGTTTGTTTGCAAGCTCCACACTTTGTGCACCTGATTACCCCCCAAATGTGATCTAGCCATTTTTTTTACCCAAGTGCCTACCACTCAAGGAGCTCACTTGGCCACTTCGTCAGCGCATTCTGACTGCGCATTTTTTTTTGTTGCCCGTTGAAAGGGAGATTCTT